TATATAAGAGGGGGACAACGTGACGCGGTAATGTAATGTGTGTGTAGACAGTGAGCAATTGATCCGCAGTCAGAAGTATTATTGAGCACGTTCGTTGTTATAACGTTTGTTTAGCGCGATTGTTGAAGTTGAGTGTATCGTAAAGTTGTATTCGGAAAGAATAAACCAGTTTTATTAAGTAAAGACTTGTGTCGTTAAAGTTTCGTCGGAAACGAAGTTACGGAAAGTTAATTAACAAACGGAGACGTAACAATACGATGTTTAGAATATCTGTACCAAACCTTATCTAGTTATGTTAATTTAATCAAAAACACCTTAGGTGTGAAGAAAAAAGGATCGAGTGTGCGACTTAAATGAATTAAATCAAAATTGGCGGTCAAACTGGTAGTTACACTTATCGCATTGATAATAATTTTACAGCAAATATTCATTCATTAATTAGTCAGGCCGCGATTTTTGTTCAACCTAGGGGTATGGTGGAGAGTAAAACAAAATACACAGTGTAGCTAACTAATGAATGAATATTTGCTGTAAAAGTGTTATCAATGCTACAAGTGTAGCTACCAGTTTTAATTTCATTCGTCTAAGTCGCGCGCTGAATCCTGTGCTCTGCCCACCACGGGTATCGAAACCTGGTTTCTAACAGTATAAGTCTGCAGACATACCACTGGGGGGCTCCACAAATTGCTCAGCTGCTTAACTTGTTCTTCCATGGAATACAGATCACTCTCATTTGAAAGAGCCCTTTTTATGTCATTCAGAAACATGTTCAAATTGCTAGTTGTCTTCTACCTTGTAAGCATGAAATACCATTTACTTAGTAATCTTTTTTATTTAACTTATGCAGTGAACATAACATTGTTTTCATAATACTAACATAAACAAACCAAAATTAGTAAAGTTAACATTTTTGTTCATCAAATAATAATAATTTAATAAGTTGTGTGTTCCAAAAACAGTACCTTAAGTTTAGGTTATAATTGTTCTAGTTTTGACTGTTGGAATTTATTTCATTCCGATTATATTTGCTCCCAGAACACTATGTAATGGTATTTTATACTTTAAAAGTGTTATTTATAATAAATGGAAACAATTGCAAATAAACAAAAGTTAAAATGCTTATGATGATAGTATCTGTGTAGACTGCATGCTATAGTGTAAATATCTTTGTAGACCACATGCTATAGTAGCACCAATTTTGTTGTAATGTTTTTAACAAATCTTTTGAATTCATAAAATTACAAGTATCTTAAAATTATGTTTTATTTTTTTAAAGAAAGTTCAGCATGTTTTAAGTTTCAACAGTAAATGCTATTTTCCCCATAACTGTTCTGTCCCTAAAATATCAAGAAATATTCTTATTCTTTCATATAGTGTAGCATTTGAAAATTTATAATTTTACCTTTTTGTAACCAGAAATGAATATAATCTTTATTAAATTATATTTTGAAATGTTTTTCTTTATTTTTTGTTGTGATGTCCTGTATCCAATGGATAATTATTGTGACCAAAATGACAGTAGTCATAAATATGTCTTAATCTTTGCAAATATGTATTACACGATGAGCCTGATATTCATGAAGCAGGATATTACATTCGTTTAGCATGTATAGCAAAATACTTTTCAAACTTATTAATATTTGTCTTCATTCTTTTTTTTTTAGGTAATTGGCAGAGGAGGTTTAAGACACAAGTGTTCCTATGATTGTAAAGTCTGGGTCTAGCAGTAGAAAGCTGTTATAATTTATACTTTTCTATAACTAGAAAAAGAATATATCTTTATTAAAGAAATTTCTACAGTTAGTTACCCTTGTGAACAGAATGGGTACAGTTGTAAGCTCGCATTAACCAATAACTCTCACCTTAGGATAAAGTTACATATCAAAGAATCCATTCTATAAAGCTTATACTTTCTTAGTCATTCTTTTATTTCATCATTCTTATAAAGTGTAAGGAAAGGAGTGGTACAGATGTTTGTACAAGTTAGTATGACTAAGGAGTTAAATCCTCCCCTTGAATATGTAGAATTCAAATGATCATTCACACAGGTAATATACAGGGGTGAAATTCTCCAAAAAAAGTAGAAGTTCTCAGCTGAGTGAAGTGGATCTGTTTTGAAAACAAAAAAAAATGTATAAACATAAAAAATGACATAGCACTTCAAATAGTACCACCTTAGAAAATAAGTTCTGGTACTCTGTATCAGTGAGTACTGGCAGAATTTCACCCCTGGTAATATAGCATATTTGGATACTGCACTAGACCTTTGGGGTGACTTAACAGTGTGGAAGACACATTCCTTCAGTCTCTTGCTTGATGAAAACATGTTATTCCTTCTGCCCCAGCAGCTAGTTAACTCCTAGCAATATTGAAGCTGACAAGTATCACAGTAAAGAACTCAGCACCTTTATTTTTATTTGTGTGTAATACATATTTTGTTAAATAACCTAAAACCTTAATTTATTTACATCTTTTCTTGTTTTAATCAAGTGTCATGTCTTATCCTCTGTTGTCCATGTTCATTTTTACTCTCAGTAACTTCTTTAAATTATTTTATGATACTTAGTACTTAGCTGTTAGTGCCAGTACTTGAACAGTCTATGATGATTAGGAATGTACACCAGTTGACAGTAAGTTTATGTTCTGGTACTCCAATAATATATAACCAACTCCCAGTTGATGATCCAGGGTGCAAGTAGTAAAAGCAGATTTATTACATTTTAATTTTGTTTCAATATTATATACTAGCTGACATATCCATTCAATGCATGGAGAAAACTTTGTAGGGGGTGTGTCATTACCTTGTGAGGGTCTAAGAATACATCAGGTTTGGTGGCAATCAGTCCAACAGTTTACCAGTTATAAATTAACACACAAATACAGACTTTTGTCAAATGATCATTTGAATAAGAGATCAACTATTTGGTTGTTCTACACATTGAGAAGAGAGCAGTGATTCTGACCTTGATGAGATTTACCCAAAAACTTCTAAGAAATGCAATAATGAAATACTGGGGTTTTTTACTTTTATAAGTTGCTTGAGACTAAAGAAAATCCTCACAAACAAGGGTATACCTAGGGACTTTGTTATTAACTGTTTATGTCAACAATTTTAATGTTAGAATTTCTAAATTCATCAATGATAAGCAAGAAGATTCAAACTGTTAATATCATGGAAAATATTCCTTTACATCAAAAGGAATTAGCTAGTCATTGGTTGGAATGTGCAAAATAAGTTTCAAGTATAAAGTAACCCACTTGGGGTGTGGAAGAGAAGAAATAATGTAGGATCACTTTTAAACTCCTGAAACTTTAGGTTTAGTGATTTCAATATGATGAAAAACTGACAGTGTTCTGTAGTCTACTTATGATAATTTTGAGTTTAAAGAATAAGAAAGTTATTCTCACTTTATATTATTTTGATTAAGCTTAATCTATGTTGCTGGATTCAAGTTTGTTCTCTGTTTTACAAGAAGGAATCAATACGACATAAACAGTGAATAGAAAAGCAACTAAAATTACATCTTTAAGAAAATTTGAATTATGATGAAAGGCTAGTACGTGTTTTCTTTAGGGTACAAGAAAACTATGTAAGGCTGTATTCTAAACTGTTAAAAGCTGGATTAAACTGAACAGTGAAATTATACAGTTAAAAAATCATATTGAAAGTAGGAAAAAAAAGACTTACTCTCTAGGTAATAATAACAAAACTTTCAGTCAATGTTTTGCAATTGTGGCTACATTAGGGCTAGTAGTAGTACTTACAGTAGTACTATACTTGCTTGTTGGCATAATTACGTTCTGTAAATTATAAACATGCAGAATAATTTAATTGGTGATGCGGTAGATGCTGTTAATTAAAATTTTTGAAACCTTTAGGTTTCACAAATTTGTATTACAAAACACACATACTACACTTTGAAATAACTAACATCAAAATAGTAGTTACATACTTTTCAATTCATACATCAATTTATAAGGCAACAGCGGGCAAAACCTTTTCCTCACTAATAAGCTCAATATCTTCAAAACATGCACAGCATAAACTTGATACAATATTTTTAAGCATAAAAAACCACATACATATCTTTTGTTGAATTTGTGAATGAACACATTTGGGTATGCTAAATGACAAAATTTCATGATGTATTAAACTTCCCATGAAATTTATTTGGCCAAATATGTGATGTACTCTAAGGGTAGTCATTCCTAAGCAATTATCACCTTTTCTTTGGGTCTCTAAATTGTACCAATAAATCACTGGGAAGTTTAACAAAATACCAAATAATGCTGTCAAGTTCCATAAAGTATCACAACTAAGCTTTATTATTGAAGGTTCATGGCTAGATTCAGTTTGCTGCTGTATCTCCCAATACTTTCTCAGTTCGTTTTCAACATTTTGTATGACATTCATTGTAAGACTTTGACCAGCTGAAACTAATGCAGGTTTTTGTAGGTGGAATGATACATCGATAAATGGAAAACTGGAATCATTGACTAAACGTCCTAAATGGTCAATTAACGCTTCTAAGTTAACCACAAACACTGACTCTTCCAACACTAAAACGTCCAATATCTTGTACCTATATTTACAACTAGAAGTACTGAAACGGCCAGTGAACGCCCTGACGAAATTCTGTATCTCTTCAGGCGAAGCGAGGCATTTATCCCACAAATAGGCGGGTCTCAGACCATGTATGACAGATAATATGTCTAATTCAATACGAAAACTGTGAGAACGTATACGTTTAGAAAATATGCGTAGTTCAGATTTCTGAAAATCTTCCATAATATTTAATGAATACCTATAATTTTATACACATATTTAACGACTTTACCATACATAAACAAGCCAAAGCAACTCTGAACACTTTTAACCTGAATAAAAAAGCACGATTGTGTGATAAGGCTCCCTCTGGACAGTGGTTTCTCAATTATTATTATTTTTTACGATGCTTGTAACTCAAAAGACCACGTTTAAATGGTTATATTTAATAAACTTCAAGAGATTTTTTTTTTCGATACATGAACATGTTTTTAATTTGATAAAAATGAAAAACATCTTATTCATTTCTCTCAAATAAGGAAAGTCGTTTGTATTAAGCAAAACAATTTTAAGACTTGCTGTTACGTTTGAATAATTCAAAAGAATATTAATAATAAAAATATGAAAACATATTACGATATGGTGAAGTAAAATGTACTCAAAACTACATAGATATGAGAAACTTGTATGATACATTCAGTTGATATGCACGAAAATAGAAATAATATAGGCTTAAGCCATACATGATGATAACCAGGAAATGGAGAATGTATATATATATATATATATACAGCAATAATAACATATCTCTCAGATTCTTTAATCGAATCATAGGATCTCCATTGTTTTCACATGTGCTATACCAAAACCTATACATTTTTCAAAAGTCGAAT